CTTTGTTTTGAGATCTGATAGCCAAAATGGGAGTAGTCTCCTTTATGGGTACCCTCCATAAGAAGATTTTCAGGTGCTAGCTTTGGCTTTTGTTTTTTTCTTTGTACCTGAATTTAGTTATTTTCACTAAACTAGCCATATGCTCATAGTCTGTCCCTGTGTGTTTGTCCACTGGGTATTTTTGGACAGATATTAAAGTCATGTGGCATTCACATGACATTGTCTGCCTTCTGTTTGCTTGAGAGAGTTATTTATTTGAAATAAATGTTTCCGCCCAGAGACCAGGGTTGTTTCTTGTCCCTATTCTCACTCAGTCTTCCTGCGTACTTGTTGAATACAGCAATATACCATTTATGTATACCTTCTCCCCTCACCTACCCTTGCAAACCATAGGTTGGGTTTTTCCCTGATTTTGTGCCCCAACTTGGGTTGGGTCAGGGGGAGACAGAATTAAAAGACTTTATTTTTTCATAATATTATAATAAAAAGAAAAAAAAGAACAAAATTATCGCTGAATTTTAAATAGTACGTGAATTTTTATTGTAGTTGTTTTTTTTTGTTGTTGTTGTGTTTTTTTGGCTTTGATGATATTAATGCCATAAGGAAAGTAGCTTACGTAGCAAGACATTACTGGATACAAGTTAATGTTTAGCTATTTAATTGATGCTTTATTTTTTCAGTCACTAGAATTACGTTGACCCCAGTACAGTAATTAAGTCTGGAAAATCTGACGTTATTTCATTTTGTTACCAATAATTTGGAATTCAACAGTTTGAAATACTGGACCGTGTGATTTAGTAGATGGATGAGCGCTGTCACAAGCCATACTTGGTAACTCTCTCAAGCCAAGAAGCTATGACAGGACAGAAATTTGAAATAAAGTTTACTTGATTTGAGATGTCTTAAGCAAAGGGTACTTAATAGTGTATTATTGAATTCCTCAACGGGTCATGCACTTACTCCTCCTAGAATAAAAAAAAAAAAAAACAAAGGAAAGAAGAAGGGAAAGAGAGAGAGGTAGGGAAGGAAGAAGAGAGAAACAGAAAGAAGGAAGGAAGGAAGGAAAAGGAAAGAAAAGATGTTCTTTGAGTGACAGCTTAACATAACGAAAAATAATTCTTCTTGTAACATTACCTTGTAATGCTCACATGATAGGACTCCTGCAATTTATCCTAACTGTCATCTCTCTCAACTCTAGAGTTTGTATGGGCAGGATAAAATCTCTCTGCTTATCGTTATAATCCATGGCACAGGGCTTGGCATAGAGGAATTGCCAGATATCTGTCTCTCTTGTCTCTGTAGTCAATGAATGACATCAATCCCTCTTCTGATAGCTCTTGAATTACTTTTATTTTTTAATGGAAAAAGGACAGAATGCAGGACTGTGTGTGTGGCGGGTAGAGTCTGTTAGCAAAGTGTGGCCAAATATTCAACAATACTGAAAACAGTCTGAGTGCCTACCCTAGGACCTTCCTTCCTAACTCTCCTGAAAGTTCCGGGCTTTGAATCTTGCTATGCTTATGGTGAAGAAAGGCATGCCAAAAAAAAACCACAAAAGGGCTAGATGCAACTGGGGGTTTTGCCTGAGATCTCTTAGACAGCTCTTTAAAATACTGGTTTCCCAAGAGCTTCTGTTTCAATGGTATTGGGGTCATGCCAGAGAATCAGCATTTTGAAAGCTCCCCAGGGGTTCTGCTTGGGTTGAAAACCAACGGGTCGAGATGTCAAATCTACATTAGCTGATGTGACCACAAGCTCCCAAGCGGGACAGTGCAGTGTGGCTGGCTCGGAGTGCAAAGGACTGTCCACAATGAAAAGTCCCCCCGTCCTGGCACTGTGGCCAATAAACGCCCATGCTTTGATCCCGGCCCACGCTGGCCAGGGAGGAAGTGGGAATGAGGGAAAGGAGAAAGGGACTGATGGAAAAACAGACTTGCCTTGGGTGGTTGGAGTCTGCCACTGACAAATGTTACTAAATCAAATGCATTGGGCCACTGTGAAGAAATGCTTGTTGAGAACCGGCTGCAGGCCAGGGTTCACAGGCCCTGAGAGTGAGAGCAGTGAACGAGCCAGCAAAGCCCTGCAATCCTGGGAGAACATTCTGGGCCCAAGACAGGGAATAGACAACAGAAGATCAATGTCACTGATATCAATGAATACCGTGTTCCCTGAAAAAAGTTAGGTTATATTTATTTCCTAGGCTTATTCTTCAGGGATGTGGTTTTTTTTTTTTTTTTAAGCACGTACAACCTCTACATTGATTCAAATAGGTGAAGTGTTCTTTTCTGGATGATCTTTTTTTCCCCGTATCCCATCCTGAATGTCTTGCGACTCTGTTTCCTTTAGAACCACTGGCCCCGATCTCTCCTGTGGAGCACTAGAGCTCTCACGGGGCGGATGAGAAGGGCTGCTCGTGTTCTTTCCCGCTCCGCGACAACACGCATGGGTTGTGCAGATGCGCTGCGCAGCCACGCCCGTCACTAGGGCTGATTTTCATAGCCACGCCCACCACTAGGGCTGATTTTCATAGCCACACCCATAATAGGGCTGATTTTCATAGCCACACCCATAATAGGGCTGATTTTCATAGCCACGCCCCTCACTAGGGCCGATTTTCGGGGTGGGGCTTCTATTGCGCACATGCTTAGACATCCTGCTAGGGCTTGTTTGATGAGTTGGTCTTATTTTCAGGGAAACGTGGTAGTATGAGAAGAAAATGGGAGCAGGGTCAAGGGTAGAGTGATCAGGATAAAGAAAGGCGTAGATGCGGTGGTCAGGGAGGGCAGTCTGAGAGGTGATGTGTGAGTTGAGAGCTGGGAGAAGAGAAGGAGCAAAGGTGGGAGCCGTGTGAGAGCTGGCGCACCGCAGGGAAGAACTCCTGAGTTGGAGATGCCCTGGGCATCACACTATGATCATACTATGATACTAATACAACATACTATGATCATACTATGATACTGATACATCATGCTATGATCATACTATGATACTGACACATCATACTATGATCATACTATGACACTAATATATCATACTGTGATCATACTATGATACTGATACATCATACTATGATCATACTATGACACTAATACATCATACTGTGATCATACTATGATATTAATACATCATGCTATGATCATACTATGATACTAATGCACATTGTGATCATGCTATGATACTAATACATCATACTATGATCATACTATACTGATACATCATACTATGATCATGCTATGACACATACATCATACTGTGATCATACTATGACACTAATACATGATACTATGATCATACTGTAATACTGACACATCGTACTATGATCATACCATGATACTAACACATCATGCTATGACCATACTATGATACTAATACAACATAGTATGATACTAAAACATCATACTATGATCATACCATGATACTAACACATCATGCTATGATCATACTATGATAGTAATACAACTTTCTATGATCATACTATGACACTAATACAACATACTATGATACCAATACATCATACTAGGACCATACTATGATACTAATACATCATACTAGGATCATACTATGATACCAATACATCATACTAGAACCATACTATGATACTAATACATCATACTAGGACCATACTATGATACTAATACATCATACTAGGACCATACTATGATACTAATACATCAATACCTAGACCAATACTATGATACCTAATACATCAAGTCTCCC